GTGAAGAGTCGACCACCCCGCCCACCTGGCGAACACTACGCCTTCAGACTGTTTTTGTTTGATAACTGCTGTTTTACGCCGCAGTGCGCGATACGAAAGTTATCACAAGAATGCTGAGTTGTGGGCAAAAGTCGGACCACGGGCGGGACTCGAACCCGCATCTTCTGCTTACCGGGCAGTTGCGTTACCACTTACGCTACCGGGGCCACTTTTGACCTCTCAGCTCAATGGCTATTTGTGCCATTGCCTTCGAGCACTCACACGTTCAACGTGATGAGCCGGAGCCGATTAGTCGCATGAACCGCACAAGGCTGAAGAGCTTTCACAAGTCTTTTAGACTGTTTCGTATTGATAAACTGCTGTTCTTGCTTTGATAACTTTCGTATCGCGCACGTGCGGCTGTAAAACAGCAGTCATCAAACAAAAACAGCAAAGACTTGTAAAAAGCGTTCACCCTTCGGGGATACACTGACCGGATTATGCGCTAACCGGTCTCATCACGTTGAGATGTGTGAGTGCTGCGAAGCACACACACACGCCATTGAGACTGCGAGGTCAAGTGGCCCCGGTAGCGTAAGTGGTAACGCAACTGCCCGGTAAGCAGAAGATGCGGGTTCGAGTCCCGCCCGTGGTCCGACTTTTGCCCACAACTCAGCATTCTTGTGATAGCCTGGCCAAGAGCCTTCGAGTTTGTTCTGCTTTGACGTGAAACGTTTGGTTTTTCACTATAGAAGCTTTCCAGTTTTGCCACTTTTCCGAGCACGTAGTAGACACGAAGTCACCTTCACATAGACAACATCTGATTTTTTTCATTTTCACAACTGGTGAAGGGCACTTACCAGCGTTTGGCAACCTTATGAATGCTTTCGCTTCATGATATAGACTGGTGGGACGCAGTGTAAAGTGCCAGCTTGTTTTGGATATGAGCTTGTGCCTCGAATCATTTCTTTCTACGTAATGGGTCAGATAGCAGCTAGCACTCGAAAGAATCAAGGTCTGAGCCAAACAAATGCTGGTGAAGAGCCACCCAGCTGTAGTGCATGAGGTTCGGCCTGATAACTTTTGCAAGGTTGCTCGATCCTTGCAAAAGTTATCAGGCCTCTTGCATACCCTAATATTACACCACAGTTGCTCATCACAAACGGAATTATTACAGTGTTCCGTCCACTATCTAATTTCGAATTGGGACTTGCTTTGATCAACTGTTCTACAGGTCACACACGGATTGTACAAATGTTTTTATTTCGCTATCACGAAATATTCAATGCTCTGTGAGCGCTTCCTACGTGGAAGACTGATTTTTGCCGATTCGTAGTATGCCAAGGAGAGCCTTTCGGTAATCCTTGACGAATAATATTGTGACAATTGGTCCGATTACCGGATCGAGTGTCATAGCAATACCAACGAAATTTTCTACAATAGGTGGACTAGAAAGCCCAGTGAAGAGAAGAAAAAACATTATGCATAGCGGCAGATGCAATAACAGTACTGGAAAGGTGATCTGAAACAGAATAGTAATTTTTCTTCCGATTAGGATCGTGTAGGATTCTAGTAGAACTTTATGCAATCACATATTAAAACTTATGCACATGCGCAGCACATAATATGTTTATATTCAGTATTACATGTACTATGTCATAATTAGATCGATACCAAGGTTGGGTCATTGGATTAAACATCATAGTTATCACTGCTCTGCAAGGGCGCTCTCCATAGTTTTTGTTTTGATTGTAGTCTGTTACTACTTTATTCTGTCTTCTTGTTTTTAAGAGTACGTTTTATTTTGCACGGACTGCTCATAACTATCCTACTATATGTGATTCGCTAACTTTGTCTGCTTAGCTCTGTGTGCATAGGGTTTGTTGCCTGGTTTGTATGCTGTATCTCGAGATCCCTGAGATCGGGTAGGCGGGGCTGCATTCTTCAACTTAACCTGAAGGTGTCTATGCTTCTGGTGGAATATTTCCATCTTGACACAACTGTTGCGGTGTCTCTGTCCAACCACAGAACGATATGGCAGCTCGAAATGCACACCGGCCCTATTGCAATTCAAATTGCAAAATCTTCCCCAAAACAGGTTTACCCTAATTACGCGTTCCAAATACATATAAAAGTCTCACTACCGAATCCTCGAGCCCAGGGTGCCGCCTCCTCAAATGTTTGGGCCCTACTTTCACGATGTTTTCATAGACTGCTTTACCTTGAGCTTCACTATGCTATCTGAAATGGGACTAGGGCGAATTGTTTCGAAAATAGGTTTTGATTTGCAGGCTCCGAAGAAGGCAATACTGCCGAAACGTCAGTCTGGTAAAAGACCGATAAACAGTCTCAATGTGCCGAATAAAGTTCTGTGAATGCCATCTTCAAATGCCACGCCTACTCTGGCTCAGGGATAAGGAGTGTATTGTTTCAAGGGATATTCACTTTCTTTGATTCAGCCATAGAAAATGTAAACTCATAGCGGATATACAAGCTACGACAGAAACATGATTGATTTGGTGACAGAAAGTGATAACAGCTGAGCAGAACTGATAAGAACTGATAAGGTACTCTAGAAGGAGGTCATCGCCAAATTCATTCCGCACGCCACAGCAGCAGGAGGACGTGCTTCCAGGAAGTGATATAGGGGCAGAATGGAAACATTGTCGGTGGATGACAGGAAGTGACAAATGATAAAAGCTGTAAAGGGCGTTAGAAGAGAAGCGTCACTGAAGTCATCACGTGCTTCACAGCAATAATGGGAACGAGGTTCATATAAGCGATGTAGGGGATGCGACGCGAACATTATTGGTGGGTGACAGGAAGTGATAACGATTGAAAAGCGCTGATAAGATGCTTCAGAACAGGAGGGTCATTAAGTCAAACGCACTCCAGAGGGACGTGGACACTGACGATTAGTGAAAAAAGCGATATGATCCCTGATGAGGGTTCATAGAAGTCAGTTTCCGCTTAGCTTCTTCACAATCCTTACGACAAACTGCGACTACAGCGGCTCGACCATCAAAAGGTGGAAGCTCTGAGGGTGAGCACTTCCCACATCTTTCCGACAGCATTAGAGCAAGAAGCGAGAGAACCGCTCAATTCTCACGTCCCAACAGAAATCAATTGCTTAGTGAAGTTCGCCTGTTGCAGATGATAGGAGCCAGTGATATCCTTTGAAAGTTGCTTCACCACAGCTACGCTGTTGCCGTCGAAACGACAAGCTGTCTAGATTTCTAATAAAGATGTTAGGTAGATTCATTTGAAGCGTGATGAGCACTGAGCATTGGCAAATGATCATCAGTAATGCGAAGTAGAAAAACAGGGGTATTCAAGGATACGTATACTCGAAATCCCTGAGATCGGGTAGGCGTGGCCGCATGTTTCAACTTAACCTGAAGGTGTCTATGCTTCTGGTGAGATATTTTCATCTTGACACAATTGTTGTCGTGTCTCTGTCCAACACAGAACAAGATGACAGTTGTCCCAGACTGGAATATTCCACGAGTAACCAGTTCCGTGCCATGTTCAAATGCCACGCCTACTCTGGCTCAGGGATAAGGAGTGTAAGAGAGTTAGCTACATGCGTGCAAGAGTTGAGGCTCAGCACGAGAATATGCAGCCGTCACCCGGACGCCCCTGTCCATGCTCCCATGCGGATGACAGACAAATTGTTGCTAGCTGGTATCTCATAAGCGAGTTGATCGGCAGCATCATTTTTCATGATCTCATAATATTTTCTCATGGTCTGGTTTATGAGTCTCCAGCCCGACCCCGCACGCAGATGCAAGGATATCAATGAGGTTGACGGCCTGAGCCACCTGGTCCCGTAAGCGCTTCACTACTCTTGCAACTTGTGAAGTTGGATTTTTTAGTTTTATCCTTGCAGAATTTTCGTGACCAATGTCGACAGACCGTTTTGTTTACCAAGTCTGACTGTAGGATGCCCAATACGCGGATACGAAGCCATTAGTTGTGATTTAGCTCAATAGTGAAACGATGTCGACGAAGCACAAAAACTAAATACAAAATGGTTCCGAAGCTGGCATAGGAAAATAAAGTTCTGCGTTCGTGCTGTATCAACCCCATATTTCGGGAATTCCGAATTGCATAAGAGATTCTGGTGCCGAGCAACTTACTTGAATTGATAGAAGAATAAGCATCCTCCTATAAAGTTTCTTTGTTTGATTGCTCAACGAGTTATCCTTTAAACAGCGATTGATCCGCAGTGCACAAAACGGGCTCAGCTGTGCCACGGTGAGCATCATCACTAACGATTCGATGAGTATGGCCAACTTAAACGGGTCAGCTCTACCCTAAACGATGCAATAAAAACAAAGAAAAATATTTGTTGTTTTGAGTGAGTTAACGCCGGGAAAGGATTACAAGTCGCCTTGTGCACTGAATTTTTATCATGCCCTATTCGTACTTGTGGGAGAACCAGCAAACAACTTCTATTTACCTTATGCTTGGGCACCTTGTCGTACATGATGCTATCTAAAAGAAGCCGAGGTAACCTCTTTGAAAAAATTTCGCGCGCGCCTGTTTGAATCCTTCCTTGGGGTGCTCTATACTATGAGCCCGTTCAACTGACCGAGCTTGGTTCAGAGACCTCATACGAACCTTTCCCATTGCAGTACCATACCAGGGTCATCTAAGTAATGGTCGTGGACCTAGAGGAAATCCAGGGAAAGACTAGTGCGACTTACGATCCAAGTAGGCATCCTTATGGTTTCTACAAAGTTCCTGAAGCACATCTGGATGTACAGACAAGGTTATTCGTATGATAAAATACCATAATCAAATAAAGAACGACAAAACTTCGCTAAATGAGGAATGATGCGACTAGCGATCCGAGTAACCTCTATGCGACAAGGGAAGGGTACTTGAAACAATCCTTAATTCAGCATCGACATTTAATTGCCACATCAAGAAAGACTGAAAAAAGCCAGGAGCAAGAAAGCGGGGAGGGGGGAGAGGGGTGATGGTACGCGTGGCTGTTATTAACAGCAATGCGACCTATCACAGGAGTGCTGAGTTCCGAACATGTTATCAAAATCAGCTTGATAATTCGCTGTTCGGTAATAGTCGTCGCCTCTCGCTGTTCGAAAAAGTCGTCGCCTCCTTCGCTAAACTGATGCGGCTGAATCCACTTTATTGCTGCACGCGGCTGTACTATTCAACGCTTCTATATCCGCCGTACTATCTTGATAAGCGCGGATGGAGATGCTGACGGTGAATAGGTACAGCCACATGCAGCGGTGGAATTTCGGCAAACTCCCTTCGCTGTAGATAACATTCACTCACAGCCGAACTGCGCCGGCTTTCTTTCTCCTGGCTTTTGTCAGTTCTTCTTAATGTCGTAATTACTTGTCGATGCTAAATTTTTGATTGTTCCCTTCCCTTGTCATCTCTGTGTACCATTTCTCATTCAGCACATTCGCAAATTGCTGCCATTCTTGAACTGGTTACAGTAGTCCATCATACGAATACCTGACACAATAGACCAGATTTGCTTGAGAGGACTTTGTGAAACCAGTAAGAAGCCCTATTCGGATCATAATCACACAATCTCCCCTTCGAATTCCGCTTTCTCAGACCACCAGCCATGAAAAGAATTTACTTCTGAGAGATTTCTTTATTTGTTACACGAAAACTTATTTGTAGAATAAACCTTTTGAACCGACCTTTGGGCGGTTGTATGCGGCTCATAAAATAGAGCGCCCCAATGAAAAGGATTCAAACAGGCGCGCGCGCAAAATTTTTTCAAAGAGGTTACCTCGGCTTCGTTTAGATAGCATCGTCGTACATATGTAACGGCGTGACTACTTCCCTAACACACAATACCAACATTTCAGAGACAATCGGCGTGATAATCGTGTTCAGTAAAATAAACTGTAATTCGGGGTGAGTCTTCGGAAAACACTCAAAGGAACGGTCCGCGATGACCTATGAAAATGCAAGTTATGTGGGAAGGTAGTGCGGTCCGGAGTGGACAACCCTGTGCCAGTTTTGCGGCGGAAAGTTGTACGACAAAGGAATTAAAGCTCAGCTCAGGCTCCATTGGTACATCTCTTTTCCAGTGACTCCACCTCCAGACTCCGCCTCCAAAGTCAGGCCTTCCAGCCAAAAGTAATGCTCCCGGGCAAGTATCATGGAGTGGATGCATTCAATGTCTCTTGTAGAGTCATAGGGTTTATTACTGGGAAATCTGCCAACGGGACTCGTCCCAACGCACGTCTTTTCGGGGTTCCGTCACCGCCTACAACTTTGTATTGAGCTAGGAGGAGTTCTGTATGAATGCCGGTTGTCCAACGGTTGCCCTTTACATGTGTCCTTCGCAGACGACTTCACTTCGCGAATTCTCTTATATTCCGCACAACACCGACGCTTTCATCGGCGAATCGTGCCTTTAAAAAGTCCGACTTGACCTAACCGAGGGAGGGCGATTGGTAGTCATAAGAGCGAGGCTAACCGCCGATGTTCCTAGCGAGTACGCTAACTAATCGCCTCGCCCTGCTATAGTGGTTTGCCATGGTGCCAAAATAGTCTTTCAGTCCCAACCCCTAAAGATTACTCAGAACGCTAGAGACTACTGGAATACCGGTCATCACTGACATACAAGCCTCAACACTAAAAACTTGCAGCGTTGGTGCCCTACCCCGGACAAAAAAAAATGGAAGGTTGAGATCGGGTGTTTTTAGCCTCACGCGATGTGAATTTGTTGCGAAAGTTGAGATCATGCGTAGAATTAGGTTAATAGTGATTCAAATACACTTGCCGAGCAAGGAGTTCAAAATCGGAACTCGAAGGGAGTATATCCTAATGGTGAAAAACTACTTACAGCTGTGACGGAGTGAGAAAGATGGACTTACTGACGCTAATGACGAATCAAAAAACAACGGGACATGCTAGAGGATCCGAGCTTGTGAGGGTTAAATCTGCGGCAGCGGCTCCCTAATCGGTTGGCCTTGCTTGGTCAGTTTATCGCTCTATTGCTGACTTGAGTCCAGCGCACTGGTGAATCGCTCTTCAAATTTGGAAAGCTGGTATAACATCAGCATCAGAGACTCATCACAGGAATACATTTCATTAAAATGGTCACGTTGACTTGAAAGTTTCCATGGTAGATGTAATATTTGATGATAGGTTCAGTTCTTAGTGATTCGGTACCGCACATCATATCTTGCAGCCTGTGCCCCTGTGGCACAATAGCAACTGGTAAATCGATGAACGGGCTACAGTAATCTTTTGAGCAACCGGAAAGGTCTCATTTCAGGGAATAGGCTCGAAATTGATAGCATCAAACGGTACAGATCATCTGTACATTTGATGCGAAAGAAACTTACTCTGCTCGTGAAGCCCAGATAAACCTTATCAACAAGGTCTATACCCCATACATTTTTAGCCGCTTCAACAATAGCTTTGTTAGGCCATAGTCCAAAGTTGATCATTGCTAGCCAGTTTGCGACAAACAGCAGATTGATCAAAACTCCCACTGCGAGACACGTGAACGAGGAATATATGTAGGAAAGTTTATTCCTGAAATTGCAAGCAACTACGATGCAATATTTGCGTAATATTGATATATTTATCTTCAGTTTATTTCGACAGACAAAATGTGCACAAGACAACTAACCAGCATAGGGTAATATATCGATACAGAAAGATATTCCCCACCAACAGCACAATAGAAATAGTTGCAGAACACAGAAAAATCATAAAGATCATACCAGTCGGCCACCGCGAACTTAATGGTCCAGTGCTGAACCATATGAAAGTAAAGTCGCGAGAATGGGGAATCTGGAAATGGCACCTGTGAAACTCTTCAATCTAGGAACCATCACACAATGAAAAAAAAAACTAAACTTCGTGGCTATTTTTAGCCAGATCATTACCGGTGGATTTATTTCCAGCCCTGTTATCGATTTCAAACCGATATTCAAGAGCATGTTGCTCAAAGTTTCATGATATTAAGAGTTTCCTGTATAGAAGGTGGCAGGTTGGGAGCATCAGATGTGTCCAGCCACGCAGTTTGAATTCAATCGCTAAGAAAACAAGCGATCTATGCTCGCTTGTTCCGCCCTGACGGCATGAGTGCAGCTCATGCACGCTGTCACAGAAGCACTGTTCATCAGTGGGTGTGACTTAGGCTATCTAGATTTCTTGAGAGATGCTCCTTGGTGGTGTATTTTCTGATTTCAGATATAGGGCATGAATATAAGGCTAGATTATGGGATTATTTGGCTTTAGGCAATTTTTAGACACCACAATCCCCAGAGGCAACTCCAGCTATGGAAATCAGCGTAGCAAACATGCATCAGAGAGTAAGTGGGCTCCCACATTGCGCCATGTACATACGAGAGCGATTATCGGAATCTTCATAAGCCAGTGGCCAAGTAATATTTCGCCACCAGTTGCGCAGTAAAAATCGAATTGAACCTATCATGAAATGAAGCAGTGACGACGTTTCATGCAACGTCAGTACATACCCCTTTGTTCATGAGATGGTGCAGACGAACAATCATGACGTGGCCTAAGTGAACTGTGGGTTGGCTTAAATGCCTGGCTAGACTCACATGGACCTATAGAACATTTGAACATTACGGTAACGTAAACAGATTACAAATGTATTGTGTTGCGCGGAACGTTCATACTGTTTTCCATTCAAGGGCTCAGCAAAGGCTGGATCATACGATAGGTGTGGAAAGACATCTCATCTGACCTTTAAGAACTCTTGCGAAGTAGTCGAAGTTAGGCCGCGTTCATACCGTGCGACGTCTTTTGCGTAAGTTGCGACTAGTTCGTGAAGAATACATACGTATCGATCCGACGAAAGCTGCGTAAGTTGCGTAAGCTGCGTAAGTTGCGACTAGTTTGTGAAGAACACATACGTATCGATCCAAAGAAAGCTGCGTAAGTTGCGTAAGTTGCGTAACCGACGACAACTTCGAGAAGAATAGATACGTATCGATCCGACGAAACCGTCGGTTACGCAACTTACGCAGCTTTCGTTGGATCGATACGTATGTATTATTCACGAACCAGTCGCAGCTTACGCAACTTACGCAGCTTACGCAGCTTTCGTCGACGTTGACGAACGACGTCGCACGGTATGAACGCGGCCTTAGATCTGGTTCAGCACAGCCATGGTTGGGAGAGCAATCGCCTCATACGGTAGCACTCTTCGAACTGTTCGGCGGAACACGCATAATTATAATATGCACCTATTGACGTCAATGGCACTAGCTTCAGAAAAGAGTGCGATATTCTTTGGCTGATCGTCTTATAAGGTAATGTATACAAGTTTTCATAGGGTTTGTTGAGAGTGGCGGCGCCACTCGTGCGGTAATATTAGCGTTCTTGGGGTAGTATTAGCGAAATAGCGCTAAAAGGTCTTGTGGACTTCGAATGGGACCTACCGGTGCTAGCAGTAAGTAGCACATTGCATATGCGACATCCATTACGGGTTTCATAAGAATCAAATATTTGGAGTGGTCAGCATGTAGCGAGCTACGTATAGATAGATATAGAAGAATACAATTCGCACATACAGCCATAGAGCAAATTATTGTCACCAATGTGTTGTAGTCATAGGTCATCTCCTGAATACATCTATAACATAGTAACATTGTATTTATAACATACTATTGTTATTTTACAAAATTGCTGACCAGGTCAGAAATTCCAGAGCAAGTCCGGAATGGGATGGGCTAGGGTTGTCTGTTGATGTACCGGGCGATTTGGCAGTTCGGTTTGACGCTGCTACCCCCTTCCGCAGCAGCTTTCAGACCTCGCGATGACGCGCGTCAAGCAGGCACTGCCTTTAGCAATCTGGTACTCTAACGTTTTTCTATGGTCTTCCAAACCCCAGCGCGAATGAAGACGGCGTATATGGACACTCCGCGTCTAAAAGAATGGAGCGCTGTTGCATTTGTAGGGTCGGCGCGAATTGCAGTGCGTCGTTGCGCGTCATCACGAAGTCTGAACGCTGCCTGAAACTAGGGGGAAACTGGCTCCTATTCTTGCACAATCGTCAGATATGGCTCCTATAACGTTGGCTCCTATGACGGCAGCGCTGGTTTATTGCACTGCAAAATCTCTCTAATAGAAGAATGATTGGAAACGATCGCGTCGAGGGCGAGCATCGCGCCCAGGTGTAGAGCGGATGAGCTCCGGGAATTTCGTAATTCTTGGGAGCTGGACCATCTGAATCCGACTCATTCTGCGTACCATCTCTCATGGCTATTTTGCTTAGTTCCAGATATCAGGTGCAAATATGACAAGCTTGTTGTTGTTATGCGACCTCTCCATACCCAACGATTGTGCAAGAATGGCACGAATGTTTCACGATCAGCTTGATTCTTCCAATTATTTTACTTGTAAGGGAATGTCACGAATGCATGCAGCTGCACTATGAAACTGGCACTATTTCCTAGCTCTACAAAAGTAGCCTGTATGTTAACAAGAGTTCTCAAAATGTCCCCCAAGTAGTCCGACTATTTTATGGACCATTCTCTCTCCAATGCAAGTTTTCAAGCCAAACCGTCGTCAGTGTCTCGGAGTAAAACAATCAGTGAAGGGCAAAATAGATCTGACTTTCAATTAAGAATTACTGACATTTGCAAAGGGAGAATAGACAAATGAAAATGGGTAGAACTTAGTGCTCGCCGTAAAACATAAAAACGAGGCACCTAAGCACGCAATCAATTCGATGACTACTTCAATTACCTGAAAATACTCCCACGAAAAGTGCTACAGTCGAGAAAGTTCGCTTCAATGAGTATTAGCCCTTTTAAGAATCCACTAAATGTCTGAGATAACAGCTGTTTCAATTAACTACCTTACCTTACATAACAACTACGTCAAGGTGACGGAAGTACAGTCTCGTTTGCGGCGAATGGTGAGTGTGTCACTGAGGCTGGATTTGGCGTGTCACCGGCCCGTTCTTCACCAGTTGCTTGAGGCTGGTAAACGACAATAATTAGCGGAAAAAGACTGGTACGATCAACATGACCCGCAAGAATAAGCCTTGGACGTCCCAGGGTCAGTGGGTTTTTTGACTGTCCAGAGTTCGAGCATGGAATAGGGTTAGCTTCCCTTTTTTAGACACAATATCACGATTACTCAGAGGGGGATTGCTCTTTGTGACAAGACGGCAGCAGTGGCATAGCATCACTAGCACTCGGGTGCAGGGTCAAGAATACATCACAGGAAATCCCCCGGTCGCTACAATTCCCCTTCATGAAAAACTGTACCTGTGACCCTTCCCCTTGTACGCTGTCAAGATATCCATCCAATTTCTGCGGTTGCGTCGCGTGCTATGAGAAAAGAGAGGTGCATGAGCCACTGGACTTCCGCTAAGCCTCTGGTCCTTCTTGCAATGTGCACAACACTAACGATCCCTTGCCTGGGGATGAGCAGAATTAGTAGTTCTTTCCTAAGGTTGGGTGCAAAGAAATACACGAAAGTTACCGTTAAGATATTAGGTTGTCGAAAAGTCCTGCGACACTTTGACCAAATTTTTCGGACTAAATTTTCTGTCACTAAAAGACATCTCCAATCTACAAGGTAACCGCAGTTGATGACTAGGACTAGTGCCCTTCTTTTGCACAGCTTCTCATTTCCATTCTCATAGAGTTACGGAAACTATGATAAAAAGAAGAGGTGGACTTCATTCTCGAGCTGAGGTGGATTTTCGGAATTTTTGTTCTATGTGGTGGATGCGATAGGGACCAAAGGAGATGGCCATTAGAGGCTCCTAGCTTTGTTAAATAACCTGGGTACGGTCGCATTCTCTGATCGAAATCCATGATCTTTTGGCGTAGCCTGCATCCCCATGCGGTCTTCGCATTGCCGAGTAGTAGAGAAAAATTGAGTATTTCTGAATGAATTCAAGTGACGTCATCCATATTTTAAAGTCGATTAAGGTGGACTGTGATCTTCACTGTGTAGTATCCAGCCGATATACGCTGTTGAAGTCCCACCAATAACACACTTGGGAATCTATTATCCCATGCACACTGATTTTTGGCAACCTGAAGTAATCTAACTTTTCTGGTTGAGAGATCCTGCGAAGCGGACATAGTGCCATGGATGTACGCCAGACAGGACTCCATACACTCGCTCACCAACCACAATCTCAAAAAGTCCTTTCGCTGGTACAAGCGAAAAGAACAAACTCAGTCACGGTCATTCGGATGCAACTTCGTCAGACGGTCCAACTCTTTAGCATCCTTCATAAAAGTTTTTTCGCATAAATCAAGATTGCGGAGCAAGCCGCAGTTTGGTCATTCAGTCGGAGCCTAGAGAGGTTGCCCCAATTTACTCGGCTGTTTGCGTTCGCGCCGCCTCAAGAAGCTTGAGTGAAGGGCCGTTTTATGGCTGTGTGAGCGCCTATACATTGTCTAACTACGAGTTAAATAAGTCCAGCCTGGAAGCGCTGATGCAAAAGCTACCCTCTGCCATGGCAAGCGATATCCTTCCTCAAGACAACGTAAGTGTTAGCTTCCTCGACTACGGCGGAGTTGGCCCTACAGGAACTCATAATATGGGACAGGTCGAAAAGTACCTCGATCTCTTGGGGGACTTTTAAGCTTTGAAACTTCCTCAAAGTCATGATATACCCATGTGCAGAAACCCCAGAGGACAGTCTCCACTAATCAGGGATAAAAACATCCAAAATGATTTTTGGTTCTTTTCTAGAACAATTCAATCAAAGTGTCGCAGGACTTTTCGAACAACCTAATAGCACGGCAGCTTCCCGTCAGAAATGAACTCGAAGATTTTTTGGCGAATGCGAGTTTTTCGGTGTTCAATAGACACATCTCTCGTCGAGCGTAAACCTACACGATTTCAAAAACGGCAGTTCCCCCGCTTCATATAATGCGCCACGCACTCGTCTTCCATTCAGAACCGCAGCGACGTAGAAATATTGATCTATGAAACAGGGAGTCAGTGAAGACTAGTCTACCTCGCAAGTCGGCTCATTGGTTTCTTGCAGTATTCAAAGAAGTAATACTTCTTACTATATTGTAAATACATTTGAAGTGAGTGGAATGTCGTGAATTTCCAACTCGGCAGATATACCGCCCTCCACTACGAGGCACAAAAGCGAGGGCAGTGCTTCAGTAGTGTTATCGCTGCTCTGTTCATTATTTAACACCTGCACATACAACCCGCTCTCCCTGCTGGCAGATCACATATGACCCTCACGCTTCAGACTCCGCGACGTTCGCTTGACCTTGTAGCTGCCGCGGCGCCACAGAATTACCATACATACATGCATACCGCTTCTATCACCGATAGTTGAAACTAGTAGGTGTTTGGTTGACGACCCACTCGACGGAAAGAATTGCTGGCGAACTGAGGAAAGTGGTAGAAAGTTGGGAAACGGGAGGATGATAGGTGGGATAGTGAAGGGGCGGAGTTCTATCAGAAGAGTAATCTTTCTTAGCGTGGGAGGGATCGTACTGACAACGCCGCTTCACACATCACGCTGACATGGACTTTGCTCTGAAAGTTTGCGATTGTCAGAAACCTCTTCTCAGTACAATAAGTTGAAAAGAATCATCAAGTTACGGCTACTACAATATAACGTTGCTAATTCTATCGCCCTCGCGATGGATGAGACTACCGTTTTAGTCCACGCTTGTATGGTCTCTGGGGGTCTCTGCGTCCATTCACTAATGTTGAACACCTGCAGACCTCATTCGTGCCGTTTTAGCGGTTTCGTTTACTGTCCTCCTCTATGCTGACTCCATTGGCATCGATGACTTCATCTTCGGCCGGCCCCCAATAAAATGACTTGTATAATGTAGCTAGCGTACTTTTGTATAACGAAGCCTACCTGTCCTACTGTACTGTCGGCCATGGCTTCAAAACAAAATGGATACGACAAGGAATCCTGCCACATTCTGGTTGCGTCCGGATCCAGAACAAAAGAACGAATCAGAGGAAGAAGCCTAAACTAGCGATAGAGCCACTAGTTTGGCCTTCTCGGCCGGAGCCTCTCGGCCGGAGCCCTTCTTCTCTCTCTCCATGACAGGAATCTCAACACTACGACAGTTCTCATATTATTGCGGTGAAAGAATAGAGGTAAAGCTGTAAGTGTTTTCACTATTAAAACTATAATAGAAAGAGAACCCTATAACATCGAGCGAACACGGGAGCAATGATCTTATGAAGCATCGCGAACTGTGCTCGATTACAAGCACTGTTTTTGCAGTCTGCCGTACGCGACGTCGCGTGGTCCTAACATAGCATACCGGTTCTGGCTCTTAGGTTCACTTATCTGAAGGATCGCCATGGCTATTATGTTTCTAGCTTCGAGAGATTATTTTTAAGGGAAAGAAAGGAGTTATCGTAACGTTAATCGAACATAAGTTAGGTGACTTATAGAACACTTCAAGATTTTTCCAATAGGCTACGTTCACAGAAGCGCTTACTCTGAAACAATAGGTCCTCATGCATTGTCAAAATGCAAGCATTAGTCCTCTACGTTGGGAACTTGTTCGAGGGTCCCCACAGTGGAATTCGTAATTGATCACGATGACAAGTGTCGTAGAAGGTTTACGATCATAGTGCATTCACAGTCATTTTTGAACACTTTTGCTCTCAATTACTCGCAGCAATCACATACGGGCGGCACATGAATGTAGTGTGGAAAATGTGAGCGAGTGAATGTGAGATCTGTGTTGAAGTCGTTACTATCAGCCAGATTTATTACATTACACGCTTATATTCACACATTTTGGGAACACGAAAGTATCAACATAATGCGAATACAAATGCAAATGTCATGTTATAACCGTACACTACAATAAGTATAATTGTTTGAATGCATCAAAGGACAAAGGTAACAAACGCCTCTTAGACTGCTCCAACAAGAACCATTTAGCTTTTGAAATGGAATGAACTAACGCTATTTCCGATAACATTGGGCTTGTAAGATTGTGATGTGTGCACCTAATTTCATAAAACTACGCAGTGTGCACAACCGTTAAATCAGTAGCCGACTGAGAAGATAAACCTAAAGAACAAGGCAAGGAAACCGATTGCCTTGTCATCTGCTTTCTTTAGCTTCAGTCAGGACTATTGATTTGATAGGTAACGATTCCTACAGAAATTTATTCGCAAGAGAGAGAAAGAACCCTAAAATTCAACTGCCATGGGAGTAAATTACACCCGCCTCAAATGAAGGGTACAGCAGTATTTGCTCTTTGATGCCCCCCCCCCACACCTTTATGCAAAAAACCGTCCTTTCTCAAAAGGCTTTCCACCTGTACGATCCTCTTCCGTTACCACTTTTAATCGCGTTTCTCCGGAAGTGTGGCCGTTGCCTGACAAATACATTAAAACTAATGAAGACTATTCGATGTGTTTTGTTGCTTTTGACATTGCCCCATAACATGGCAAAACGCAACAAAAAAAAGGCGTAACTGCAACATAGCCTGGTGAGGACTGAGGATACGTTCAGGAACAACTCACAATAGTATAAGATTATTGAATGAAAGGCTTCGTTCTATCCATTGCGATTAATGTCTGCAGACAAAGTGGAAGTGGAGCGTGTTTCTGTAATCGTGGGCATTTGGCATTCATTGCTGATATCCACATCATTTTATTCCTCATTTCTATCCTTCACACATTAATGTCAGGCGGAACAGAGAAGGGATACATATGTGTGTAAGAAGGCAATCCTTTTGATTGAATATACTTACTTTTGAGTAGATGGACTCCTGATAGTGGTAACTGCGGGCAGTATAGAAGCATGTGATTTCTTGGCAATGTGCAGTGTAGTGAGAACTTTCTTTCGATAATCCTTCACGAATAATATGGTGACAACAGGTCCAAAGAGTGGATCAAGTGCCATGGCAACACCAACGAAATACTCTATGAAAGCTGAGCTAGTAAGCCCTGTGAAGACCAGGAGAAACATAATGACCAGAGGTAGATGCATTAATAGTGTCGGACAGGCAATCTGAAAAATAGAGCAATTTCTTTCGTTTTCAGGCGTCCTTTAAATACAGAATATTCTGTAAGGGGCTGTGGTGAAGGGTTTTTGACCACATTGATTCTAATTGAGCAATATTGTGACGGTATCGTTTCCTGATCCTTTACTTCTCAAAATACTTCGGTGTTATGTTGGACGCAAACAATTTTTCTAGTGTGAATGGAATAAACAAGGCAAATAACGCCGTGACTCTTCATTTTCACCATCATGTGGACCCCGCCAAGCATACGAAAACCCATCCATTACAAGCAAAAGAGCAGCAGCAAGCCATCGCGAATTTGGCAAGTTCAGCAACATCAAACCTATTTAATGTTTGGAGGAACGGCTTAGCACCTCATAGCTGCAAGCTCTTGAAAACTCCGGGCTGCTGCCACGTTGCCAATTCACT